GTGGCATGCTCCAGCGTCGGCCCTTCCCACCAACAAAAGAGCCGACAAGAAATATTTTGTGCCACCAAAGGGCATGGAATTCCTCTTCGCCCATCCACAGCCTAACTCTTTAGTAGTTGACGCAGCTCAGCAGAGATCTAGAGCCCCTCATCTCAAACACCAAGGCTCTGATAAAGACGTAAGGAGGCTTGACGTCCTGGGCAGAAAAGTATACACCTCAGCGACTTTACTCCTTAGAATCGCCAATTACTCGGCGCAGCTTTCCAATCATTCCTTCGACACAATTTCACGCCTCACTCCTCTCATGGATCATCTCCCTGATTCAGAAAGATTGATCCTGAGAACGTCCCTCCAGATGGCCATGGACGTGGCTGATACTGCTGCTTGCTCTGCCGCTACGGCTATTGTTATGCGTAGAGCTTCTTTTCTTCAAGCGGCAGGAGTTCCAAAGGAACTACAGACGAAGGTCGAGGACTTACCCTTCGACAAGGATAAGCTCTTCGCAGAGACCACGGATGCAATCCTGCACTCCTCTAAAGACTCTCGGACAACCTTGCGAACTCTGGGGATGTATACGCCCCCCCTTAAGAGACGTCGGTACTCACCATATCAGCGCAGATATGATTACCCCTACATTAGACACCAGTGGCAGCAGCACCACCAACAACAGAGGCTTTTTGACAACCAGCGTTCTCACCAGAGGCCTCAACAACGCCGAAACCTGAACGGCAGAACGAACATACCTTCCAACAGCAAGCAACAGATTTGATGTGTTGGTCGAGGGCGAGCACACAACCACAGGCAGCACCGTGAATCGTTCAACCCAGCTGTTTCACTACCGTCTAAGACCCTTTCTACATCAATGGTCAACAATCACCACGGACAAATGGGTCCTCGAGATTGTTCAGTTCGGCTATCCTATCCCTCTTATAGCCATCCCACCAACCACTCCTCCCACCCTGTCCCTCTTCAGGGACCCCTCTCACGAGACTCTCCTCAGACTAGAGGTCGACCGCCTTCTCTCTCTGGGTGCCATAGAGCCAGTT